CCTCCGCTCAACTGGCGTTCAAGTTCCGGATCGGGCCTAGCGGTCGTAGTGTCTAAAGCCTCCTCGCCTGCCTTAAGCTGCAGCGACACACGTAGCCATGGCTTAGGTGCTTTTAAATTGAACCAGTTGTGGCAAACTCGACGATATAGGGGGAATTCAAAATCAAGACTGTGAGGGGAAGGCTGCAGAACAGCCAACGCTCTGACCATCTGGGCTACGAGGCCCCACCGAGAGCCGTGAATTTAATCACGTTTAGGTCTATTTACCCACCATGCCTACTGTGACATGTGGAATCCACTAAATTTGCTCACTGTAAACACACTACTCAAGTAGGATTTTCTAAATAGTTACTGTAGAGTGCACTAAATGAGTACCAGACGAATTTAATTCATAAGAGCGAAGAACGCGTTCAAGCCACCCTAATCGTCTTTCTTGGATGGCCTGGGATATCTTTGCGATGTTGTCGCAGCGAATGCAGACAGTTTCGCTTGAAAAGAAGTAGGTGAACTTTATTCGTAGGATGATCTTCAAGCAGTGATGATAAAATACCTCCAGTTTTCGTTCATCTCCAACTCGCATAGCCCAGCATTCACAGCCATAGTGAAGGACAGATCGAAAAGATTCATGGTACACACGAATCTGCATGGCGATGGAGATGTCATGTCGGATCCACAGCCCTAACCATAACTTTAGCACTAACCCTTATATTTCCGGAAAGCCCCCGAAATAGGGAATTCTCGTTCTGCAACCCCCCCCCGCCTTGGTGTTTTACTGAAGTACCTGCAAGAATGTCGTTTTGAATTATATTCAACATTTCGCTAATTAGAGTAGGCGTTTCTTCGAAGAACTTGTGCTAGAACAGGGGTCGGGAACGTATGGCTCGCTAGCCAGGTGTGGCTCTTTTGAGGATTGCATCTGGGTCTCTCAGATAACGTCAGATTTTGTGATTTTGGTTCCTCCAATTAATAAATCCAAAGGCTTATTATACTCAAGTTTAATTGAATTCAATCTTAAAATATATTATATGGCTCTCACTGAAATATATTTCCAAATATTTGCTTTCTTGGCTTT